ACACATGATCCATCTCCACAGCTCACCTAGACTGGATGTTGTAATAATTCTTTCTTATTTCTGACCTCTGGTCCCCAACTCCCAACAGCACTGCTGCTGATAGAGCAAGAAAAAAAAGTAATATGCTGCACTTACTACACGAGTCATGAGCCAACTTCCCTGGGCCTAACCCAGCTAGAAGACAAGCAAGTGGTGGAAACTAATGCACTATGTTCCAGATGACCAGTAAGGTCATAAATAAATTATACATTAAATGCAGAACATCTAGAATTCATCTAGCTCTTCATCTAGCTCTTATTTTAGTGAAGTAACACAAGGTTGGAATTAACCCCTTTAGAATGAAGCCAGGAGACTACAGGTTCACAAATCTTAAGACAGAAGATTATTCCCACTGCTCAACTTCAGTCACTGAAGCTGCTCTGCACTGCCCTGAAAAACAACCTACTTCTCTTCATTATTCAGAGAAGGAACTTGGGCTTCTAACTGTAGGTGCTTTGAGTCACCACATCCCATACCTGAAGTAAAATGTTGTGCCATGAAGCACATGAAATGTATGTGCTTCATCTGTAAAGATTAACATACTGGGTTTCTTTAAAGTGATGTATCATAGAATCATTTAGATTGGAAAAGACCTTTAAGATCATGAAGTCCAATCGTTAACCTAACACTGCCAAGTCCACCACTAAACCATGTCCCTAAGCACCACGTCTACCCGTCTTTTAAATACCTCCAGCGACGGGGACTCAACCACTTCCCTGGGCAGCCTGTTCCAGTGCCTGACTACCCTTTCAGGGAAGTAGTTTTTCCTAATATCCAATCTAAACTTCCCCTGGTGCAACTTGAGGCCATTTCCTCTAATCCTGTCGCTTGTTACTTGGGAGAAGAGCCTGACCACCACCTCACTACAACCTCCTTTCAGGTAGTTGTAGAGAGCAATATACTGTCATGGTTTCAGCTGGGATAGAGTTAATTTTCTTCTTAGTAGCTGGTATAGCACTGTGTTTTGGGTTTAGGACAAGACTAATGTTGATAACACACTGATGTTTTAGTTGGTGCTAAGTAGTGCTAAGCTGTTGCTAAATAGTTGCTAAGTAGTGTTTACACTAGTCAAGGACTTTTCAGCTTCCCATGCTGAAAGGGAGCACAGCCAGGGGGACTGACCCAAACTGGCCAAAGAGCTATTCCATACCATATGACGTCATGCTCAGTATATAAGCTGGGGGAAGAAGAAGAAAGGGGGGGGACGTTCAGCGTGATGGCATTTGTCTTCCCAAGTAACCATTACGCGTGATGGAGGCCTGCTTTCCTGGAGATGGCCGAACATCTGCCTGACGATGGGAAGTAGTGAATGAATTCCTTGTTTTGCTTTGTTTGCTTGTGCAGTTTTTGCTTTACCTATTTAACTGTTCTATTTTATTTTACTTCGATTATTCAACTGTCTTTATCCTCAACCCACAAGTTTTCTCCCTTTTACCCTTCCGATTCTCTCCCCGGTCCCACTGGGCTGGGGGAGCGAGTGAGCAGCTGCATGGTGCTTAGCTGCTGGCTGGGGTTTAAACCACGACAACATGTAAGTGCTGCCAGTTTAGAACTTAATGATTTGATTCTTTTAAAGTCTGCATCATTAAAAATATTGCTCCAACCAGCATTAGGTTTCCCAAACCCAGTTCCTAATACTAAAATGGTCAAGTTGGGTATTGCCTCTGAACACCAGCAACAACACGGAATAAGGAGATGATGTTTCTCATACATAGTTAAAGCACAAATTAAACAGGACACACAAAAAAATCTGAATCATCATTGCCATGCCGAACTACCCCATCTGCCAATAACTGTTTTTACCATGGGGTGCCGCGACTAATACGGTTAGTTCAAGTGAGATTAAAACACAGGATAAATTACCATTTAAAGACATTAAGTGATGCTAAAAAGCTACCTTCACTCTCTGCTTCAAGTGCATGATCATTTAACATGCAAATGTAACTGGAATATTTCAGCTGAACTTACCTCATCTGAAAAGAGGACAGCAGTTACTGCTTTTGCCAACCTAGTTTCACCATTACACAGAATGCCTGACAGTCTGACTTCCCCCCAGTTTATCCCTGACTTAAAAACCCCTAAGGAAATGCCAGTTGAGCAGCCTGTAATGAACTATTTGAATTACTTAGGAGTTAATTGTCTCCAAGTTGAGTTATTAGCAGTCTAACGATACAGCTGCTTTTTAAGCAGAATGCCACTTCAGCTGCCCCATGACAGTCCCTTGGTTCAGGTACCAGAAGTCTTCCTTACTCTGCTGGTTCAGGCACAGCACTTGCACCAAGCCTCAACCTCGCAGAGCAAGCCCTTATTTTCTCATCCTTCTCTCGGTTAGCCTCCAGATCTAGGAAGAGCCTGACTACCTCTGTCATGCACATTTCACAGATAGTAAGGCAGAGTTGTTTCATGCCAATTAAGTTCAAGGAAAAAAAAACAATTGTTTCTAGTGAAATAACTGGAATTCCAAAACAAATGGAAGCAAGGGGAAAAATTATTATTGTTCCTCCAGCTCTGAAGAGCAAGGTATGCAAAACCTTGAAGTTGCCAAGTAATCCATCTTATGACAAAGCAAATTTAAATAAGTAGACACTTGAACTGCACTGTACGGCAGCCAGGGGACTCGACTCTCTCTTCTCCCCACACAAGCTATGAAACAGAAGAGCTCTTGACACATATCAAAAACCAGATCTATACAAAGACAGATCTAGCTTCCCACATACAAACAATGTGTCGTTTCCTTAGCTCAAGCTCTCCGATGTCCATTCCAGGGAGAACGCTACTTTGGCAAATACGAGCCAAGGACAATATGTTCCAGAGCCTTGTTCCAATAAAAATTAAACTTATTCCCTACAATGATGACAATATGAATCTAAAAATGGCACTAACTTAAACAGATCCTTTTTATTGACACCTTTGAAGATCCAAAACTAGATGTAATTGCAATCTTTCTCTCAGTCTCAAGTCTAAACATTCACAAACTGTGAAAAGCAGGCACAGAAATGTTCATGCCATTAAAAAAAAAACCAAGACAAATCTAGAAGACCAGATATGATATTTTTAAAATTAGTATGCTTAAGTTGAAAACGAGAAAAAGATAGGTTAGGCGTTCAGGCGTTGCGCTGGAGAAAGACCAGTTTTATATTTTTATTACCAGATTTTCAAGACATCAGAACACACATGAAATAAGACCTGTCCCCCCCTGCAGAAGGTAAATTCAGTAACTAAGCCTTCTACACTGTAATCTCCATTTAGCTAGAGCTGGTTTATAATACTCAGAATGCTTCAAATATATCAGAACAGCATAGTGTGAAAAGAAGCATATCACCAAACTGAGAAGCAGGGTGGAGCACAATATACAATACTGCCCCAAAATTAGGCTGCACATGACCACACATTTAGGCTCCATCTCCACACACTCAGAAATTCAATGTTATTTACCGAAGTACTCCTTACAGGTGGAGAATGTTAACTCTGCATTTGTCACAGTAGGTTATTTAAATGTGTGTTTCTCTGCTATAGGAGTTTCCCACAGTATGAGAGAGGGAGGAAGCAGGATAAAATAATATTATAACACGCATGAGAGTTAAAACCCATATTCTTCAGAAGAAAAGCGGGAAAACTAGCTTTGTTTTACAGAATATACACTGTAGGGAGAGGTGACAGGAGCTTTTTGTCAGCCTTGCTAGCCTGTCTTCTACAGCAAGTACATGACTTAAAGAACCTGTCAGAATGTGCTTGATAAACCTTGTTCCCCTACCACTTTCACACTGTTAGCATCATCACTACTCATCCTTTTAAACAGATCACATTGTGTCAGAAGCAAAAAAACTGACAGAAGTTATAGATACTCCCAAGCACCAAGCTTTTCAGAAACAAAAGGTTGTTTAAGTTCAAAATTAAATTAGTTGTTTGTATCTCAACATCTATGTTCCAATGTACTCGGATGTACTGTTGCATTTTATCTTTCTCTAAGGCAACGCCAAATTGGAAATATGAGCTTTGGTGAAATCATAATTAATGATCAGATTAAGAATATCTAATTAGTATTTTTAACTCTCCATGCTTCATGCTTAGCATACCTAATTAGTTTGGCAAGTTATACGAAGTGGTTACATGAACACTGAAGTTTTTCAGAACTTCAGCCCTTCGATGCTTCACTATAAAGGTCCTGTACTCTGTTGGAAAGGCAGCATCCCACCAGCAAGTTCTGTGGCAGAACATGCCAGGACTTCAGGGTTTTTGGAGCTTTATTAGAGAACTAGTCAAAGAACTAGTCAACAAAAAATGAAAGAAAAACCTCACTTCAAATGGTGTTCTCAGCAATTGATGAAAGAGATACCAGTGAGTTATCTCCAACTTCATCTAACCAACCAGCCCATAAGCTTCTGCTACTCCAGGAGCTCAAGAAAAATTGCACTTGCACCCCTTAAAATGGCAACAGAAAAATAACAGTGTAGAGTGGGGAAAAGGACTAGAGCAAAGAACAACAATGCAAAAGAATGGTCAGGCATACGCTTTGCAAAGCAACTGCCAATTAAGTACTTGAAGCATCAACTCTTACAACTACGTCAAGATACCAATTCCTTCAGCTGAGATTAAGTAAACTTGCTAAAAAACCTACACACATCCTTAACATTTCGAAGACTGTAGCTTTGCAAGCCTGAATTACAGCTCATATTAAACATTGAACAATATATTTTAACTTATTTGAACTGCTTAAGTGAACTACTTATGTGACATTCAGTCATGCAAGGTCAAGCTACTCAATTCAACTGCAACAAAAATATACAGAAAAACTAGCTAAGATCTTACACATCGGCATCATATTGCTCTATCATTTAAGAACTGCAGTCTTACCACATTCAAATGTTATTCCCCCCTTAAAAGAATCTACTGTCTTGAATCCTCTCTCCACAGACTAATATTTCTTCCTGTTAGTAGTATGTTAAATAATCCTCACATACCAGTTGTGAACCATCAGCTTCTGCACAGCCAGTAGTGCATTATAACGAACTTGTTGGTCTTCATGATGCATGTGGTTCATTACCAGCTGTTTACCACCAAGCTGTTCAATCACTCTGAAAGAGAGGAGAGGAGCAGTTTTTTTGATGTTACTTCAGCTTCTAGGTAGCTATCCTATCCAACCACTTCATGTTCAAGGCATTAAGAGGTTAAGTATAAGTCACATCGTATTTATTTTATTAAAAGGATTTATTTCCTAACATATACATCTTAGTTGACATGTTACAAATGCAGATTTCTCATACTACCTACTGATTTTTTTTTTTTTTAAGAATTCACAACATCAGAAAGTGTTTGTACTGGACTCCTCTGTTTGCTACCCACTACCTACTTCCATAAATTTTGAAATAAACAACAATCAAGGAAGGAGCCCTTTTCAGAGAGGGTTATTTACTTTACCCAGCTTGCTAAAGAACTCAATATTGGCTTGAGAGGGTTGGCAGGGTACAGCACTATTGATTATTATTTAGGAGGAAGTAGTGCCCTCCCCTCCATAAATTGATGATGACCAGGTCACTCCATTTTTTGCAAGCATAAAGCCCCAATCCAGTCCAGCACTGCCTAACCCAGAAAAAAATGCTTGTAATCACACCAACACCTATTGAAACCAGCCACTTGGTACTCCTCATACTGCTTTTTGCCATTCAAACTGTTCTAGAGCCACAGCTATTCTTGCACAAGATGCAGAACTGGCTGCAAAGTTACCATTTCCAGAAAAAACAGTACGTTTGAGCTGCATCTTTCACTACAAAATTCACCATAGTAGTCAGCCATAGCTTTTTAATAGCTATACCAAATCCCACACGACAATACTGATGAAACTTAGTATCACGTCATGAATATATCATTTCTTAAAAAAACCTGAAAGGCAACACACTTAAAACCTGAAAAAAAGTATCACTATCCAGATGACTCTCTACATGCAGCATTTTGGTCTGTCATAACAAAAAGTTTGGAGAGTTTGCAAGGAATATATAAACCGATTACTCACTGACTTGCATATGTTTTTTTACATCAGTTCTCTCACAGGTCACTGAGTAGTTAAACACAATAGCCTGTGAAAAGGCCATCATTTACATTACTCAACCTGACACTATCCTGCCATTCTAAGCTTGCATTAGCTGTCTGCTTTTACTATTGCTCTTTTCATGGTCAAATTAATGCATTACTGATGCACAACACACGTTTTTGCAAACTGCAGAACAGTATAAAGACATAGCGTGGAGATGAAAAAGAGAATTTCCCATTTCACTTATATAACTCAGTCAAAACCATCCTGGATACCACAAGGATTATTATTTCTCCATAGTATTAAAGCATATAAGGACGTTTCATACAACGGGAATGCATTCAGAAATTGTTTTAAGCTAGAAAATCCTCGCTAAGAATTCAAGAAGTTATTAGCAATGTAACAGATTCAAAAAAACCTTTGTGTCTCCCTTAAGCTTCCTCACATTTTTAATCATGAGTTAAATATAAAACCACTGCACACAAAGACAAGACTATGAAACACAAACAGGAATTTTTTTCCTCATTACATGACTGACTTAAACACTGAATTTTCAGGAATTGAAAGGAGGTAAAAAAAGGCATTAAACTCAAAAGCTTCCTTATGCTAGAAGCATGCAAGAAACAAAAATGAAAAGTTTAAATCCTAAAATCACAGATGGAAACAGAGTATTTCAGATGACAGTACATCACTGAAATTATGGCTGAGAATATGAAGAGTCAAAGAACAGCATTACCGTTCTTGCAGACCACTGCCTTCTGGTACAAATCACTTCCCAGCTATGTGTTTTAGACCAAGAGGTAAGCAAATGTGAAGAAGGTTCACTGTGAATCCCATTCCTTCAAGTTCCAAACCTGCTCAAAACACTACTTTTAGTTCTGTTTTCCCTCTCCTCAACTTCTGCTGACTTTACAGCAGTAATAGAGCCCAATGGAGCAGTTATGGTACGTGTATGTCTTCTGCAGGGACTGTTCCCCATAACAACAGTGCACTAAGCCAAAACGGTAGCAATTCAAACAAGTTTGTATGCTGAAGAGTCAGATTTTAACATGACCCATTTAAAGGAAGAAAGAGGAAACACAAGAGGAAGACAAATGAGAACGGTTTAGACTGCTGTAGCAGAAAATATTAATATAAAGTACACACTACATATCTAAAAGCAGACCAAGGTGAAAAAGGGAATGCAATTAAGCTGTTTCTGAATCATGGGAATGGCTCCAGGTGTCAATCTCTTGTACATGCAAAACATAAAACTCACGTTCACGGTATTCAGGTGAGTGAAAGTGTTGATCTCACATAGCAGTAACCCTTGGGCCACATGGAAGTTGTACTGGAGGCTGATGTTTAGCCTGCGTTTATTTTCAGTGACTGGAAACAGCAATGCTGTACTTTATTTCTGCTGTTACATTGCCAGAAAATACATGTCAGTGAGCCTCATTAGAAACCCACTGTGCTATTGCCTTGAGAACTTGGTCCACAATGTGCAATTTTAAAGGTAAGTTAAAATTATTTAAGCTGACAACGTTAGACAACAGCCAAGCAAAAAAGTGTAGCATTTAGTTTAACAAACATCTTCTTTTGTCAGACAAAGAGAAAGGTTAGCCAGCACTGTTACTCCAGGGTCTCTGCTGTGCGCGGCAGGTAAACTCAAGAAGTTTTAGGTTCTAATTCGCCTCTGCTGAAGGATGATCCAGTTAAGAGTTGAGGACAAACACTTAAAGGAAACAAAAGTATTTAAGACATTTGAACTCTCTTATTCTTCTAAACCAATGAATAACATCCATTCCCAAAGTGAGTCATGCAATAAGAGTGTGAAATGCCAACCAGGCGTGGGAGCAGTAAACGATTATATATCAAAAAACATCATGGTAAGAAATGGACTATTACGTGGGAACTGACACACAGTCCTTAAGTATTTTAAGCTTTTAGTCCTAAAATTGCTGAAGTCATACTTAGTAAGAATACACCGGATTACAAAGGAAATTCTTTAAAAGAGACTGAGGCATTTTAGTTTGCCCATCAGAACAGAAAGCTAAATAAGCCAAGTCCATAAGCCAAAAGCAGATAAAGTATGAGAAGTTGATATAAGAATGTGGGTTAGAATAGTATCTAGGACACTTCTTATTTGCCGACTATGGTCATCATCAACCTCCTTTTGAAGGTTAACGCACTTCTGAATAGGTTTAACAGCCTGGAAGCTGAGCTGGGGTCCCGCATTTGCCCAGCTACAGACAAAGAGATACAGGTCCTGCTTATCCACTCCTCCAACTTCATAGCTTTGGTCCAGCAACTGCATGGCCATACTAGCCCAAGCATTATGCCACATTTGGGTAGATGTGTGCAAGCTGTTTAAAGGTTATGGAATATGCCTATTAAAATGGTTTCAGACAAAGGGCAGCTCAAACCAGGAGCAACCAGTATTAGTCCTTCAGGTTTGCCACTTGCAGGCAGCAGTATGAGTTTTCACCTTATTGGAGGATATCTTGCCTCCCCTCCGAATACCAGTTATCATAAATATCTTTTGGAGGACACAGGAGCTAATTAGCAAATACACAGCACTGCTCAGTACAAGTGGTACAAACTGAACACCTCCGACTTTTCTTAGTGGACCAAGAAAACAGCTAATTTGTACCAATGATCTAAAAATACCTTCAGTTCAAGTTGCTTACAAGACTACAAAGGCTGTGACTCTTTCTAGAGTGAACAAATCTTTCTAGCACATACATGGCATGAAGTTCTCTATCTGTTGTCCGTGAACCTACTACTGTCAAGACAGCAGTCTGCACAAGAAGTGTTCATGAAATTCCCAACAAGCCTAGAAGACCATTCTCATCTTCCCCATTAAACCCTATGCAAAAACAGATCACTTCTTTGCTACAAAAATTAAGTCACATGTCCCTTTGGGTGACTGATGAGCATGATTCCTGCAAAAATCAAAGGTCCCTTTCTGCTTCAGTGGTCTCTTTACCTTAGAGATGCAATTATTCAGCAAACATCTTTGCTCACAGGTTTTTGAAACAAAACAAAGCAAGAAACTACAGCAATAACTGTCTGTATATTTTGACAGGAATTCAGGTTTACAATAAACATTAACACTTTCACCGAAACGTGTATGTGTGTAGCTGAAAGAAAACATGCTAAAATAGAAGTGATAACTGAATCTGTGCTGACATCACTGAAATTACAACAGCAATTGTTTGTGAGAAAAATCTTGTCTCGGTAGTCTTAAGTCACAAAATAGACTTAATCACTGTTGAAACAGACCATCCACTAAGACTGTAAGTCCAACAGTCATAACAGAGGGTAAAAATGACATGTTGATTAAATTCTTGGTAGCTCTTCTAATTTCTTCTGGCACACGTCTTCTGCTTTAGTCTAAAAACTTATTCAAGACTTCTTTAGACATCGGTTCCCTTCACTGTTAAGAGACACTGAAATATATTAAGTCAAAGATCTAGTTTGTATTTTCTCATCTGATCTAGTTGCGTTTTCTCACCTCCCCAGTGAATTAAACTTAAGCATAACCTGCAATCCCTAGGTAGCATATTTTAATACAAATAAGCAAAAAAGCCACAGGCAAAGCATATACTCTAGCTACTCTCCTGAGCAAGAACATCGGTATTTTTCTTACCGTTTCCCACGGGGATAGTGTCGTACATATTCTCCCACATCATGAGCAGCTACAGCCAGCACTTGCGGATCATCAGAAACCTCCAGAAGTTTTGTCAGGATTCTAGGAAAGGATTTGAAACAATCAAGTTCCAGGTTTGGGGTTTTGTTTTGGGTTTTCTTTGTTGTTTTTTTAAATCACTGGTAACTTAAAATAACAAAGCTTGTACCCATAAAAATGCTTTACAAGTCACCCAAACAGCAAAGCTAGAATAGAACTTTTCCCAAATATGCAGTTGCACTTAAAACAATGGAGATTCTGCCCTAATTAACAGAATTATTGAAATCATTCACTAGAGTGAGTTTAGTGAGCCACATCTACAAATACCTATAAGCAAGGTGTACAAAATATCTCCTTTTTTAATACATTGGCTTCAAGACCAACAGTTTTGAGTTCAAGATAAGCCATACTAACCAAACGTATAAATATTTATAGACTGAGACAGGGGTGGGACACAAGCACAAAGCCTACACAAGGCCAACAGATGCTGCTGCTTCTCTTATACAATAGACCCCAGTCATGCTTGCATGCTGTTCCCAGCTCCTGCACTCGGGATTCTGCACTATGGATTCAGAAAGTGATAAGGCCACATTGCTCGTGACACAGCAATGGGGGTATGACAAGCCTGCTATCCACCAGCCTTTCCCCAACTCTATTCCTCCCCTCACAACAGTGGCCTTGCTCAATGCAGGATATAAGGACAAAAAGGGCAGAATTTTATGCAGAACACTGTTATACAGAGTCACTTAAAAATTAAAAGGCATCCTAGCGGTTGAGAACAAGGCAGCACACAGAGTTCTTTGTTCTATGCAACTGTGAACTTCTCTCAGTTCAAGACGATCAACTTTATCTCAAAACCATCACTTGTTCAGTTAACTGTTGTGGTCTAAAAAGCAGTTCTGTCTTAACTCAAAGACTGAGATGATGAAAGTTATACCTTGTAATTGACTCCGATTTCATATATTAGTTATTTTGTTAGCATGAACAGAAATACAGAGCTGTAAGAATTAGAAAACAGTTTCTGAACTCTTAATATTGTCTGCATTTTTTAATTAACTAGTTTAATTAGTTTTAGTGGAAAACAGCTACTGTTCTCTAGCCAGTAATGAGGAGGGGGACAAAAATGACACAGATATGAAGGTTAGGCACTAAGTTTAAAAGGTTAAACATACAGATCACTGGAAAATTAGAGATTCACCTGCGCTTAGTGAGATGACAAACTTGTTCTAATCACAGAAAGTTAGTAACAACTTGAAATAGTTAAGTAGGTTAAAAAAATCAATCGGAATTAAAAAAAAAAAGAACATTCTGGTAAAATTAAATTACCACAGCCACTGCCTCCCTAGAGGCCAGAAAGTGACAGATGAAGCACTTTTCATTTTAAAAGAACTCCTAATTTGGACAAGTAGGAGCAGAAACTTGAACCATAACACTGATCGGAA